TATAATTGTTTTTAATTTAAATAATATTTTATTTCTTATAATAACAATACTTAAATAAAATATGTCATTATTGATTTTTTTAAATTGGTTTAAAATTTATATCTTTTATTGCAATTAATTATCTAGAGTGATTCATTTTATGAATTTAATTACTTGTTTGTTAGCAATAATATTATAAATAGTTATTATTAATAACTCAATAATATTATATACGTGCTGTAATTATTGCTATCTATAAATCAAAATTATGCACTTCAACCATACCTAATAATTAAGTAGGTAGCTATTTAATTTTTGCGATAATAATTAAAAAAATAATAACTTAWCTGTATAAACAAAATACTTTGAATAATTAAAAAAATTCTACAAATCATCAAAGATTATAACGTGTCTATAATATATTAATATGTGTTAATCTATGCAATTTATGACTAGCAGATATCTTCGTCGTTACTCTTAAGTAATTCTCAAGTAACTCTTACCTACCTACCTAGTCTTTATTAGCTAAGCGTAAACAGTTCTTGTTTTAAACAACTATAGTGATTACCTAWGCCGATTTTTAAGGAACACATYAAATATTACGGTTTTTATATTCGTCTTACCTACAGGACATTTATTTTTTGCAGTTTGACCAGATTTATAGTTTTCTAATTATTGYGAATAGTAGGTAGTGACTAATAGTTGTAGTACTATCTATGCCATCCGGTAATTTTTTTAACTTGATTTAAATATTAATTAGGGTTTTCGATTAATTATTATCAATTAAACAATGTATGGTTTACCTATAATTGTATATTACATATTATTAATTAATAATATGTAGGTACCAGTGACGGAGCCAGAATTTTAGTATTATAGGTAAGGCTGAGGGCAAGGCTGAGGCCAACATTKTTTAGGGATGCTATATGTGAACTTGATATGTATAAAAACAATTTTGGTGCCATTCCATGTTCAATATTTTCATATATTCATATAAATCATGGTTCATGTCGTTCATGAGATCATTTTTAATACTTAGCCGATTATGATTTATTTTTAATTTAAATTTTAGGGTAGGCCACGAGGGTYCAAGACTTCTTAAAGTGGGTCCGGGCCCACCCTAGCTGGCGCCGCCACTGGTAGGTATTATTAAAATTTACTATGCCCACTAATAGTTATAGCGTTGTAAAGAATAAAAATCGATTTCAAACCAAATGGCAAATGGAGAACAAAAATCAAAGCATACCTATATAATATCATTATTCATTAACCAATGTTGAATTGTAGGCACTTGTAACCACCAAAAAACACAATATAATGTAGGTATATAGGGATATACGCTATATAACACAAATTACTATCAAGTTGTATAAACATTTGTGACCAGCGCCAGCAGTACAGACGACGACATCAACACAACCTTCAGAAATCACTGAAAGTATGAAACTAAACCGTTTAACAGCAGAGTTGGGCACAGATTGTGGTAAATAACGCCTAAGGTCAAATGCGAAAATCGACGACTGGTTATCTTCAATATTATATAAATACAGTAATAGTAAACATTAAAAATTCAAATCAACTTTATTTATTCAAACAACAAACGGTGATAAGAAAAAAGGAAGAAACATGGGTTCCCAATTTTTAATTTTTAATTGGTTTTAAATTTGATAAAAATGTATCAATTATTATTACAACAGTTGTAGTGTAGGTACAATAAAAAGAAGCGGATAAATATATATGTTTAGTTATAATTGCTCATCTGACTGTTGTACGCTGTAGGGTGTCGAATGTACCTACTATACCTAATCATTAAGTCAGCCACTGAATAATAATAAACTTATTTTATGATTATTATTTACTTTAAATCATATGATTTACTTAATAAATAAATAAATAACTTAATGTATTAAATTTTATAAGCATTTGAAGTTCAAACGTTGACAAAATTCACGAAAATTTATAGATTATTTTGCAATTAAAACATTATACGTTTTTTGTTTATAGCTAAGCATTGRAAATTTTAAACAAGTTWTCTCGAACTTAGTTCATACTGTAACCAAAAAATCTAAAAGATTCTATTAGTGTCATAAGTGAAATTGTATAATAGTTTGAAAATTGAAGTATTTTTATTGTTACATAGTGACAACTGACAACAGCTAAAACACATTTATATATCAATATTATATACCTAGTGGCGGATGTTTAAACTTTAAATCAACTATGTATTTAATTGGCAATTGTTAAAAAAAATGTATTTAAGTGGCAACTGACGTGACTCAGATACTTATATAGTTATATAGGTATTAAAAACAGTAGGTATATAATGATGTATGTTATGACAGTAAATTTAGATAAATGTTTTAGCTTGTGAAATTACTTATTTAAAGAGATTTTATAAAGTATTTAATGTATGATTGC